AATGAAAAGAAAATGATAAAAACTTCAAAAAATAAAATCCTTCGAGAGGTAGTTATATTACTGCATCTACTAGTTAGGAAAATTTGAAAACTTAAATTTGGACATGTTTTGCAAAAAGTGTAGGGAAAATGTAAAACGGCTATAAGTTTTGCATACGATGTCGGAAAAAAACGTATAATATATCAAAAAATTCAGCACGAAAATCCGCATCCGATGGAGACCGCCTACAACATGTTTGCAATTTTTTAGAATCCTCAAATTCCAAAAGGAAAAAAAGATATGGTCAAATTTAAGTTTTTTTAAAAAAAATTGTTAAATCTGGTCAAACTACTTATTCGAGAAGTATTAATGTTACTACATAATTATTCAAGAATATTAGTGTTACTAAATAATTATTTCAATTTTTTGAATTTTGGTCAAATCTGGTCAAACTATGGTCAAACTGTGGTCAAACTATGGTCAAACTGTGGTCAAACTATGGTCAAACTTATTCAAGAAATATTAGTGTTACTAAATAATTACTGTTTTTTAGAATAATAGTTTCAAACTCAAATAGTGAAATGTGTGACTTCATGCTCAAGCTAAACTCTTGAAGGTTAATAGGATTGACATCTTACTATTGTCAGGAAAACAACAAGTGCAGACTTGGAAACGAAGGAGCTTAGAACCCGAAAGTTAAGCGTGCTTGGGCTGGAGTAGTGAGAGGGATGGGTGACCGGTCGGGAAGTTAGATGATTTGGAATGAGTGATCCACACTTGAGCAGTTAAGAGAGGTGATTAGAGACTAAATCACCAAATAATTTAGAAAAATTAAAAATCAAAAAAATAAAAATAAAAAAAATTCCAAAATTTTCAATTTTTTTTATAAACCTTTAGTACCGGCTGGTAACACCAACCGGTACTAAAGGTCCCCCATACCAGGGCGCGAGCTCACGCCACGTGGTGGCACTTTAGCGCCGGTTCGTGCCGAACCGGTACTAAAGGGGGGGGGGCCTTTAGTGCCCACCAGACTCCGTTTTCTACTAATGGACCAGTTAAGAGAGGTGATTAGAGACTAAATCACCAAATAATTTAGAAAAATTAAAAATCGAAAAAATAAAAATAAAAAAAATTCCAAAATTTTCAATTTTTTTTATAAACCTTTAGTGCCGGCTGGTAACACCAACCGGTACTAAAGGTCCCCCATACCAGGGCGCGAGCTCACGCCACGTGGTGGCACTTTAGCGCCGGTTCGTGCCGAACCGGTACTAAAGGGGGGGCCTTTAGTGCCCACCAGACTCCGTTTTCTACTAATGGACCAGTTTCTGTTGGAGGAGAAAAGTAAGAAATCATGCGATGACCCCATAGGTGACCAACCTGAAATGGAGGTTGAGTTGAGCTTGTCCCATTCTCCTGTGGTTTGTACTGGTGGAGTTGGAGCTTCTGCTAGTCAAAAGTCTGCTCATCATGATTATTGCTTTATTGTGCTCAAATCTATGGAAGAAAGTGAATCTAATGAGGAGAATGATGTTATTTAAAAAACATGATTTGGGAGTTGTCTCTCGGAAATTATTGATGTTATGAATCTAGGCTCTATTAAGAGATCCTTGTTACCCTCTCTTGATGAGGTCCCTCCGAATGAGAAGGAAAGCAAGAGTGATGTCACTTCTGGTACCCAATTCAAAAACATGGGCGTGTGACATCATGGAAAAAGCAGCAACATATAAAATGAAGAAAAGTCTAGAAACCCACCCCCCGGTTCTCCTTTCAAGGTATTATTTTGATGTTTTAGACCCTGATACTCTTGTTTCTCAAACTGCCAAAATGAACATTGATATTGGAAGTAATAATGAGGAATGCGTTAAAATAGTTGGAGAGATGATTGATCCTGAGAGTGTTAATTGATTAGCTTTTGCTAATAATAACCCTGAAATTGGGTTGCGTGATACTCTATTGAGTAATTATCATAATGTATCTTCTCAGTTTAATTCTCCTACTATTGGTCATGGTCTTGCTAATTCAGGGGCAATGCTGATTTTTAGTAAACCATCTCCTCTGGTGACTAGATTTTAGACTTGTGGCTTCTCGCACCCTTTTAAAATTTCATGATAGGTCTTTGGAATGTTAGAATCCGAGTCAATCTGGTAAAAAAAAGTGCCCCTTTGTGATCTAACTAAAAGTAGTAATGCAACTTTGTTGGCTTCCCTCAAGCTAAAAAGTAAGATTTTCCTGGTAGTTTTCTGCGTCTTATTGTTGGTAATAAGAAATTTATTTGGCATCCTTTGCCTTCAGTTGGTTCGGCTGGTGGCATCATTGTGGGTGTGAACTCTGATTTGTATGATGCGATTGGTTTTTGAAGGAAATATGCCCTAGAGGCAATAATAAAGCTACTATTTATTTCCTTATATCATGATAAATGTTTATTATTCATGCTAGAATTGTATTAACCGGAAACATAATACATGTGTGAATACATAGACAAACATAATGTCACTAGTATGCCTCTACTTGACTAGCTCGTTGATCAAAGATGGTTATGTTTCCTAACCATAGACATGAGTTATCATTTGATTAACGGGATCACATCATTAGGAGAATGATGTGATTGACTTGACCCATTTCGTTAGCTTAGCACTTGATCATTTAGTTTGTTGCTATTGCTTTCTTCATGACTTATACATGTTCCTATGACTATGAGATTATGCAACTCCCGTTTACCGGAGGAACACTTTGTGTGCTATCAAACGTCACAACATAACTGGGTGATTATAAAGGTGCTCTACAGGTGTCTCCGAAGGTACTTGTTGGGTTGGCGTATTTCGAGATTAGGATTTGTCACTCCGATTGTCGGATAGGTATCTCTGGGCCCTCTCGGTAATGCACATCACATAAGCCTTGCAAGCATTGCAACTAATAAGTTAGTTGCGGGATGATGTATT